CCACCGCCACCGCCACCCCACCGCTAAATCATCAGCAGACCCGACACGGGGGCACACAGGTCTTGGCTGAAAAGTCATGGGTTCCTACCAGACTAACTGCCGTCATTCGTCTAACAGTTGCTGCGAGCAGATGACTTTAAAGCTTTCGTGCACCCTCAGCACCTGCATGTCATCCAGGGCGACTGTGTGCTCTGTAACTTTCTGCGAAAGCTCCTTGGCTCATGTGAGCATGGGCACTGCGATGGGGGCTGCAGCTTCACTGAAACTTCAAAACTGTCCAGGCCCTGCATGACCTGGCCCGAGTCTGGAGCTGCCAATTGAATAAGGAACGAACAACTGGAGGCCGGTAGTCGCTTACCGTGTGTCAGAATGCTGGCAAGCCCTTTGCTAGCAAGTTCCTTGCTATTTCCAGCCCTTGCACAATGAATGGTCAACTCTTACAGACATTCGCCAGCAAACTTAGCGCAGTAGGCCTCAGACACGTTGAATATGTCACACTGCACCGTCGCAGTGGATGGTGCCAAAATGGGTGCACCCAATAAATCCTGACAAGATCCCTTGGCCCTGAAATCCAGGGCTCCTCGTGCTGGGCACGGGCCCCACGGAAGTCGGTGCAAAGCTGGGCAAAGCTCTCCTCCACACCACGGAGCACCTCGCAGTGTCGTGACAAAACGCCTGCCATTAGGGTCTGGTAGACGAGTGTCCTTAGACAGTGATCCAGCTCAAGGCTGATCCAAGGCCTCACCGGATTTGAAACAGAAAGGGCTACAAAAGGTATGTGTACTTCGAGGTGTTTATGTTGGGGGTTTGAAACGGTGGCTTAGTTGTGCAAAGCAGTCCAGAATCTAGATGCGCAAGGGTACCTAGTCCTGTCAAGAAAGTGAGGGGCTCGCGCATGTCGCGGACATCTGTCAACCTTGCATTCCAGACCCTTGGTTGAGACGTGAATAGCTGGTCAACGAGCACCTGGCCCAAGCACAACAATTCCATCCAGATCAGGCACTTGAACATACGCAGCCTATGTGTGCGTAGAATATCGAGAAGTGAGAGACCTGCCATCCCTCCATACAAAACCCCAATCTCCAAGCACTCTTTGAACTCTGGGGCACTGTCAGCAAACTCTCCATCTGCTCGTCTAGTCGCTTGACAGTCCTTCGCACACGGCTCAGGCATTATCAGTCTTTCAGCTTGCCCACGAGAAGTTTGGGCAAGAGCCACCAGAATGGAACTTATCACATTAATTGGAAGCTCGAGGCTGGAGCCGTTGCATGAGTCACAGTCTCCAAATGGCGGAAGCATAACAAAATAATCCGGGTCGATTTAGATGGGAAGCATTATTGCACACCTGCTGCAGAGATCACTAGAACAATCAGAACACTCCTCTTACATGCTCGGAGGAGCTAAGAATGTGCTGGGGTGTGGCTTCCTGAGACCATGTGAGAACCAAAAATACAGAAGATCCAGAGCTTCCCCGGTACAAGGCCTATCGAGCTCCTCATCCCCATTATCTTTCGCATCCCTGGAATCCCCATCACCCCCACACCCAAAATAATATAGAAACTTCCATGTCCTCTTTCTCACTATACCCATATGTCACCACGTATCCCTATACATCTCTCGTTATAACCCTATACAGCTCTACGTATCCCTACATACCCCTCTCCGGGCCAAGCTCAGGCCTGGTATTGGATTCGAGGCTACGCTGGAGCACGCCTTGGCACCGTGGGGGAAGCGCCCCAAGCAGTTTAGTACTCTCAAGCCTCAAGGTGGTGGCTAGGGAACCGAGGGTTCCCACTTAATTCGGTGATAGTGCGCAGAAGACCAGGGGTGTTCTTGAAGGATTTACGACCAGCACTTTCAAGCTTGTTTGTGAGCTGGGACATGATAAATATCTTGGCCTAGCTCCCGAAACAAGAGGCTAGAAACTCTTGCTGCATTGGCATGCAATCGTCGCAAGGCCTATGACTGGCACTCAAAATTTTCGACGTCACGGTAGGAAGTATTACACAGCATTCTCTGCGACAGGGCTTGGCCGGCTTCTTCGTGGCTTCAAAGAAGGGCTGAGCCACGGGCATTTGCCTTCGTTCTGCACACCAAGCCCCTGATGATGCATCAGTTGGCGTGTTGGATGAAGCTTTTTCAAGGCAAGGGGGGGTAAGGTTGGAGAAGGTCACTGGTTCTCAAGTTTTCTGAAGCAACCTGAGAAGCTAATGTTGGACCCTGCTTAGCATGGGCGGTGTCCCCAATTATGATTATAGTAGTTAAAAGGGGATCCCACACATTCATATGATGATTAGTACGACTGATGTGACTATTAATACGATTGCTAGCACAGATACGACTACAGATGGCAAGACCAATAGCTACCAATGAAAATGATGCTACTGAGACGAATACTAGCATTCACGATCCTACTCATACTAGCCTGTACCAGGCCGAAAACTACTGATACACAGATGTACACGGATACTTCAATAGTGCTCGTACTGCATGGGACGCAGAAGGTTGTGGTGCCGAAGCTTTTCACAAGAGATCCTCCAAAGCCTCAGCTCGAAAGTTGTTAGCTTCAAAGCTCCTCTTGACAAGTTGACCAGACTTCTGAGCCTCCATCAGTTTGATATTCTAAGCTGGAAAGCTTCACCTGGCAAACACAAATAGCAAGGGGGTCTTGACAACTTTAAATTTCAAAATGGAAAGCCCTGCCAGGGCTAGGGCCGCTAGGCCCCAAACCCGCACAAGTTCAGTGTAATGTCGATTCCCCGCCGAGGGACAGGATCAGATCAGTGTCACCCTGCTTTACGACATGACGGTACAAGCGGCTTCCAAAGCCAGGCCAGCCGTTGCGGCAAACTACATGCCCAAGGCATCGAAAATAGAAATCCTTCAAAAGCCAACCCCTGAAGTCATCGAGCTTGCAGTTTGCATCTTAGCTTGCCTGCCGAAGGATGGCGAGGTACCTCATGCCACAGGCAACCATGACTAGCGCAGTATGACCTGCATGAAGTTTGTTCTTAGCTCTACTCTACAGTTCTAGTTGTGCTCAGACAAGTAATCACGTAATGTAGGCAGTCCCTCAAAAGTTTACGGGTTTAAACAGCCTTTGCACAGAAGCGACTGGGCATGTCAGAACGAGATGGACAACAAGATGCTTGCGCTACGATTACGGCAAGGTCGCTTCCAGCCAATGCTACTGCAGGCCGCTCCTGGTAGCCGGAGTCTTTTCCAAGAACCTCGATGTGCTCACGGAGCTGCTGTCAGGAATTCGGCATAAAATGGTTGTGGATCCTCCACCCTATGCCCATAACCTGAATGAAGAGGGGCTCCAGTTTGCTGATTTGACAGCCTGCGATAGCCCCAGCAACACTAAAGGAGTTAAACAGAAGTTGCCACTAAGCTTTGACCAAGAGCTAGACTGACAAGCCTGATGGTGAACTTTGAATGGCTCACTTGCTGGCCACTGCCATCACCGTACTGGCATTCTTGACACCTGAAACGTTAAGCTACAGCCACTGGACGCTCTGAGCTGGTGCTGGGTCACTTGTTGGTTCTGTCCAGGTCAGCTTTGAGCTCAGCCACGTCCATGTTTACGCGATGAACCTCCAAATTTACAAGCTTGGTAAAGCCAGGTATCCATCCCAAAATGGAAAGCTGCTATGGTGCTGTCTTGGCAGAATGCTGCGCTGGCTGTACTCACTGACTCCCACCAGACCGAATGGCGAATCAAAGGAGAACATAGCTAGCAATGATTGGACTTGCTTGTCTTACACTTAAACACTACGAGTAGTTGACCTGCATTTCCGTCCTGCGACCAATTGGGCGAAATCACGCGACCTGGCGCTGCGCGTAGTCCACAGAGCTGTCAGTCTGCTGCAGGTGGTCCATCATGGGGCGCATCATGAGGACCTGGGACCAACTTTGTGTGACTTCGCATAGTGGCTCCCCAACAACCCAAACTCCCAACCCAACACCTGGAGAGTCCTACAAGGTCGAGTCATTGAAGTTCTGAGAGGGAAGCAGCTGCTAAAGACGGCCCCACATGTTATGGCATTTGGGGTAACTAGAGGTGTTGCTGATCTTAACTACTTTAATTTATTGAAGCGGCGAAGAGGTCTGTGATAGGCTTCTCATGAAAAGCATCCACCAAGGAAGCAGTGAATGTCAGGTTACAGCAGCTTGGGGGTTTCGGGGTGGCTCACTCATGCGTTGTGCGTCTGGGGATGGGGCAACCTGCTGCATCACGAAGTCCGAAATCCAGGCGAGGTCCCTCGAATGCAAATCCTGCGTGACAAGAAAAAGGGTCGACTGATGTGTAACGATGCTTCCCGTGTTATGAGCGCTCCTGCGAGAATAAACAGGACTATGTTGAGGTATGCAAGACATGGCAACTCAATGCCGATAGGACTCGATCAAAACACCCAATTCCGTTGAATCTACTCCCGACTGTTTTGGGGGCTTCTGAGTCCCTAGCTATTTTGCTGCCAAACAACACGGTTTAAGTCTCCGGAAATGTCGTTCTCATTGTAGCACTCCTTATTGGAGCTGATGCAATCTTTTCGCAATGCCACACGTGAATTTCATAACAGCATTGCTTGCTATCATTCGCAGTATCATCATCTACTTCTTCTTCTACTTCTACTTCTACTACTACTACTACTACTACTACTACTACGACGACTACGACTATGAGGACGACGACGACGATGATGACGACCACTCCTACTATTGCGCCTCCTCCTCCACCTCCTCCTCCTGCTGCTCCTGCTATCACCACCAGCACCACCACCACAACAACCACCGCCATCATTGACATAACAACTACGACTATGACGACTACGACAATGACGGCGGCGCGTGAAAAACATTGTGCCTTCCCTCCATCAGCATTACCACAGTCAGCTTCACCTCTATGAGTCTAAGCCCGGTATCGTCCAACCCTTGAATGAGGAAAAACACTGAAAGCTAGGTGCGCAAGGGCGTAGCAGCCTGAATGACTACAAACACATGTCCTTCATGTTCTCTTCTACACTCAGTAGTGAATTCCACCACAAAACCCAAAAAGCAGGCTTCAACAGCTCTTTCCCATCGGCCATCAGCCGTTCCCACAGATCAGCGGGGAGCGTGCCGAAATTATGACCCTGTGACAGGGTTGCTTTATGAAGAAGACCCTACTACCCCATGATGGTATTATACTAGTCTCGCCATTTGAGGAACACCCTGAACCCCAAACCCCATAGACCCTGTGTAGGGTCCCTAATTTTGGCACGCACCCCACCTGCGAGTTACAGCAGGGAGGATCCTGAAAGTAGCTAACAGAAAGTAGAACGTGCAGCCTTTTGGGGTGTCCTACAACTGGCACGATACGTTGTGAGGCTAAGAAAGGTGCCCTAATTAAACAGCTTGAGGGAGCCTCGGATCTTGCAAAATCCAGTGCCCGACGGTTTGACGCTGCGGGTGTGGGGCCCTTTGTGTGTTCGGGATCTACTTTCCTTCATAGCTAAACGCTACACTCAGGATCCTTCCTGAAAGCTTGTCTATAGCGTCTATACCGTGCCTCCAGTACGTTGGAGACTTAAATGCCGCAGAGTTTGAAATGGTCTCTGGCGAGCTTTAAAATTTTTGTTGACGTTTATTGGGAATTGATTGGCATTTCTCAAAATGAGGGCCCCCTTGCATACCCCCTAGCATGTCACGATCCTCGGACATGAATATCCAAAAACAGGAACCATCCTTCCAGGAAACGCCTAGAGGCAAATGCAGGCCGTGTTAGTCACGCAGCCCGCAAGTGGACAGCGGCTGTTAAACACCTGCCCCCAATAATGGGACCCGCCTCTTCAGAAAAGCCGTAATGGCTGCAGGACTATCGGAAATAAACGGACATAAATCTCCTCCCTTTGTGGAACCTCCTGCGGCTGCATCATTGAGGGAATGGCAGAGCATGTCAATTGGATTAACGCGATCTTGGCACGCGCTGTACAAGGGCGATATGTCCACGCCACGCCAAAGAGCCATTGGTCACTGTACAAGGGGCCACCAGTACAAGCACAGTTGCTGCTCTTACTAAGTGAAAGGAAGGAGACTGGCCACCTGAAATTGACCAAAAATGAGGCTCGAGACGTCTTGAAATGCAAAAGTCAAAGCACCCCGCAAAAGTCAAAGCACCCCTCTTGACGTTGTGACAAGATATGGTCGCATCTGAAAGTTTCGGAGTCTGAAAGGCAGTAGGAATGCTTTCTGTAAAGAACCCCCAAGAAGGGGCCACCGTTTTTCAGAAACTTCCATGTGGGGCCTTCAAGCAGGATTGGTATTGGAAAGTGGCACCCGCTCTGACAGTTTAAGAGGGCCGTTCGGGACCTAGCCGCTCTCCTTGCCAACCGACGGCGAATCAAAGTTCAATGCGCATTACCTGCGGCCACTCGTCTTGTTGCACCTCATCTCCAAAGTCACTTTCACGACGCTCCTCTACCTCTTCCTGGAAATCGTGTGGATGTTCAGTCACACGGTGAAGAAAGATGTCCAGGTGGAGGACATGCTTCGCGTGTGTGGAGAAGTCTGGTGGCAAGGCATCTTTCGGGGGCCTCGGCATCTTTGCCGCGAAGGACACAGAGTAGATGGGGCTGTCGATCTCCCTAGCAAGACTTGTACTTTCAGTACACCCCATCACGCCAGCAGCAGCTATGGCCATACGAGAACCACACGAAAATCGACCTTGAGCCAGACATCAGCAAACAAGACCTCACGGTTCGACTCAACAAATTGCTTCTTCCAATTGTCTTGAGGAGTCTCTAGTTCATTCTGCTCACCAGCGAACAATAAACAACAAAAACACCCCAGTGAGGCTGTAAATGCGCTGGCACAGATAAGATTCAACACGCTAGGAAAACCCTGTGCAGACAGATTCCTGTGCAAACAAATGCAGAACCACTTGCAGAAGGCATACGTTCACAGAGGCCTTACAAAGAAGCGAATCAATAAGCGACCCTAGCCCCAGCGACCGTGATGACTGCAAGCCCACGAACATCTTTTAGACCACATTGTCGTTGGAGCTAGCGGATTTGAAGAGCTACACTGATGCTGTGGGGACTGGCTGCTCCATCAGCTGCACGACAGATCAAGGGACGACCATGCACTCAGCACAGACTTTACTTCAACCCCCTGAAACAAAAGGCATGTGCACATGGCACCGCATGACCATCAATGTGTGGGATTCAGAAGATTCCTCTCAACAACTCCAGATTGAGACCGCTGGCAACCAACCTCGAGGGGCGCCATGGCTTGCTACCGAAGCTCAACCTGAACTTCTTGGGCTCCCAGAACTTTGGGATTGGAGGGGCGTGGCGATATGTTCTCTAGGCTCCTAGTATCCCCCTTAGTAGGCCCCATAATCGGGACCCTATAATCCCTTATATAAGTAACCCCTTCAAGGAGTCTAGACTATGAACACCTTAAATGGGTTATGTAGGGGATTATGTAAATGACAATTATGGGGCCTATTAAGGGGGATACTAGGAGTTTAGACTATAGTTCACATGTGCCTGGCGCTGGTGCCCTGTTCGGTGGATGTGGTCTGCCGGCACTCCAGAGCGACACACTACACCTCCGCACAACCTCGAAGCATAATCAGAACCTTGGCTTTGCATTGGCCCTCTCAGAATGCAGAACCCTAAACCCTAGACCCTAAACCCTTTTCCCCCCCAAGCCATTGACTTTACAAAGAAGAGGAGCCCACTGGGCTGTTAGAAGTCACCCCTGGCAGACCACGACAACCGATTCATAGGCATTGAAGCAATCATATTTGGGGGTTTCCCAAAATTAGGGGTACCATTTTGGGGGTCCCAATAATAAGGACTATAGTATTTTGGGGTCTATATTGGGGTTCCCTTATTTAGGGAAACTACCATTTGAAGGTTTATGGCGTGTATAGCCTGACCTACAACTTGTGTTGCCTGTACATCACCAGCTGGGTTATCATACGCAGTGGTTGGAGCCCAGTTGCAAGTATTTGCTCTGTCCCATGAGCTCCAGGTAGGGTGCTGAAGGTTCCAAGTCGGGGCAGTCCTAGGTGGTGATATCGCAAGAAATACCGAATGAGCATCAAACACTGTACCCAAGAGCCCAAGAGAATGGTCTAATCTGAGTGCGAATGACAGAAGGCAACGGCCAGCAGATCGCTCGTGACTTTCGTCCCTGTAGTGGAAAGAACACAAGAAACACACACCAAACAAAGCAAGCACTTTAGCCTTTCAATACACCAAATGTAACCGTTCAAGCTCTGCAAGAAAGAACCCTCGCGAGACCCGCAAGACATTATTTGAAACAGCATGACACCACCCCAAGCCAGCAGCAAGTTGTTATACCCGAAGTAGGCCTAACATAATCAGCCTAGCCCTTCATTCTGTCGATTGCATAGGCTCCGGCGTAAGTGCAGGAGAGACCACTAGGAGGGCCTAGCATCATGGCGTGGGGCGGCTTCCAAACAGAGCGGGTATGCTTTGAATTGAGGGGGGGGTCCTTGTGAAGGACTATGAATTTTTGGAAACTCCTACGTGCACCAGTTACTTGGTCCTAGTGTGGGTATCTCTCCTGTTGTCTACAATACATTAGGGCTCATTCTACTATGCAAGCTTGACCGTATCCAGATCCATGGCATAACTGGGGCACTGCATCTTCTCCCAGGCATGGGCACAAGCACATTGTCGATCAATCCCCACTGAAAAACCTCGACCACGACTGGATAAGAGGCGCCTCCCCGCATGCAATGGTTATGGGAAGGACTTTGAACACGTTAAAACATCAAAACCCACAGCCCATTGCCATGCACTGTCTTTGTCTGATGGACCAGGTGATCTTCCCGGCTCTGCAAATGTTCAAGGCCTACAATCCACAGGCAAGATCAGAATTGAATACGGGACTTCGTAGCATCCACATATGAAGCCGCCAAACCCACGGTCTTACCATCGAAATCCTCAACTACAGCCTCACCGCCTTCCATGATCAAGCTGTCATGGATTTAGTCATTTAGTGTTTAGGGCTTCTACTGGGTTTATGGAAAGGTTCAGGGTGCGTACAAGATTCAGGATTCCTTTCTGCTTGCGGCCCAGGGGCATGCCAGCTTGTACTTGGCCACTTTGTCCCTCTGAGCTATCACTGAAGCCAGGCAGCAGTCCACCAAATCATCTGGCCTTTCGTAAACCTGTGGATGGAGCAAGCCACCACTTTGGATGTCTCTTACTGTAAGTCCGACTGGCGTAAAATTCTCCATGCACCGTCACACACCCCCTTCCTGGAACCCGAACGCCCCAAACCCCAAGCCAGAAAGCCCATGAAGAATTGTGAGGTAGCTCCAGGAATCCAAGCTGTGCAGCTGTGTATGTTTGCCAAAGCAATGAAGGCTTAATGTGCAGAGCTTTTTTGATGAAACTGCTCTTCCCTGATTCGTGGCTGGTAATATGTCTTTCTAAACCATACAAGAAAGCCTCCTTATATTGCCCTCACAAGCCCCTTGGATACAGCGGAGGGCAGCCCGGCACCCATTTTGCACGTTTAGGCTTTACTGCGCGATTTCAGGGGCCTAGCTTATCATCTTTTGAATGCTACTGCTCTCATGCAGGGCTTAGGAGCATACCCAGAAAGTTAAGGCCCCTGTGTTGATCCCACGGGTGAGACGTGATGTGGTAATTGCAACTGGCGAGGTCAGCAGCGGCAGTTTTTCCTGTGGGAAGTCCTCAAACTTAGGAGCATTTTGGATGTTGCAAAATACAGGCACTTAAATTTCCGGGAAGGGGTGGTACTACTCAGCACAGATTTTGCGAATACCTGCTCTCTACCAAGGCTCGATGGGCTTCTAAGCAATCGTCTCGACCACTGCTTGCGGGGCTTTAAGATTTGGGGGTGCTCAGGAGCCTTGGGTGGAGTGGGTCCTGCGTTGAACGTTTTGGCTCCAAAGGTTTTGCCCTTAGATGTAAAGGGTGTCATTGCTAAGTTAGGTTTACGGGCTTCGACAGCGAGCTCCTTTCATCACAACAGCTGCTGTATTGCTTGAAAACAGCAGGAATAAACAATAGCCCTTAACCCGCCCACTGACAGGCTTTCGACTATTAGAGCGACAACACGGCTAGGCACGCCACTTCTGTGATGCTCTGTTGTCGCGAGGTGCTGCGCATGATACAAACTCAAACACTCAACAATCTCGAGCAACGCACGTACCAATGTAACTACACACATACATGCTGGTACGACTACTGACACTCATTGGTTCACGATTGCTCATGCTATGAAGGCAGTGCTATCTCCCCGTTGCTGGCTCTCAAAATGGCAGCGACTTGCCACTGCCACTGGGGCAGGCGCTGATCGATACGTCTTCTGGGGCTTACTTGGAACTGTGAGAATCGAGTGGAATATTTAAGGGAAGGCTATTTTGAGAAGCTCATGCAGATCATCTCTGCTGGTTTCTAGATAGTCTGGCTCTCTCAGATGTCGCTGGAAAAACTCGGATCTCCAAGATAAACGCGACCACGAGCTATGCGACCCAAAAAATCTCAGGATTTGTTGGAGCAAGAAGCGGGTCTTGTGGATTACGTGCGTTCTCTTGTTACCTCACACAAGATTGCAATTCCTTCGTTGTACAAGCCTCGAAGATGTTACTAGGAAGAAGCTCAAAAACATCTTTAGATTGTCGCGCTGTTTCTCTGCCCACAGGAAGCATGTTAACGATAAATACACTTCAATTTTCCAAACTTCATGACTCAAAACACCCATTGAATTCCTGACCAGGTACCTAAACCTGATGCCTAATCCCTGGAGTCTCAAATCCTGAACGAAAATAGTCTATGTCCCAAGGCCAATCCTAAACCAATCTAAAAAGCAAAGATCCGCATCAACTGAACCCTCGACATAAACCCCGGAACTACCTCGATCCAGGAGGCCTCCATAACCTCAAGCGATGAGATCCTGAATCCCTGGGCCATAGGATTGTCAGCTCAGCCTGTCCCAGAGGGCTTGCAAACAAATTCTCGTGACGCGGGGCCACCGTGCTTCATCTTTCTAGACGTTGGACAAGCCGGTGTCGACGCTGCTAAGGCTTCGGACCCCACTTTTGGCTTTTCGGACGACAATTTTGGCTGCAGCGGGTAGGACTACAGTGTTGCACAATACCGAATAAATCCAAGGGCACCGCTGTCGCACTCTGGGTGTTCGGGTTACACCGCTGCAATGCCCTGGAGGTTCAATGTAGCTGCGAATGGGGGGCTAGAACTAGGATAGGAGTAGGGTAGCTTCAGGGCTATGGGCAAAGCGCAGCATTTTGCACCAGTCTCGCAGCTTTGGCGTGGGATTTGGGCCTCGCTCCCCAGCCAAACTGATTTTTTTCTGGTCTGATGGCTTCAGGATTCGTGGTTCTTTTCCTTTCACCGGAACCTGAAAGCTTGGAGGTGGAAGCTTTCACGTAATTCAGGTCTACGCATGAGCCAAGACATGGGTTTTGCACCGCGTCATGCAAATTCATGGGTATAAGGTAAAGAGGTTATGGGCAACGAAGCATGGGCACACCTGTGACAGCGAAGAGATGCTGATTTAGGGGGCAAATGAAATGACTGCACCCCAGGTAGCCAACATGCATCTAGCCCTGCAGCAGCTACTGTTGACTTAAGATTATGAAGCGTATGTCTCCTGCTCTTTTGGTTTACCAATGATCAAGCTTAAGCTCTCATACTCATGCAAACGCAACCGCTAAGTGGTCAGAGGAAGCAGATTGGCTTCAAGGGCGGCTCGTGTGGAAATTGTCCGCGGCTTTGGGCTTCAAGCCGTACGCCAACAACATGTCCAGTTTTGGGCGGCCACCAAACGTCGATGACAATTGTCATTGTCTGCATTCATCATGAAAAGCTCCGTGACCAAAATATCAACCATCAGTGTTGAAGCCCAACACTCGGAGGCCAGCGGCTTCCACGAGCTACTGCAGCCTGGACGTCTCTTCGTCGGTTGCTACTTGAAGCTTGCTACAGGATTTTAAGGGGTTATTGTGATGTTTACGGGCTGTCTGCAGTTTGAGTCTTTTTTATTGCGGTCTGTGGAGTCCCCTGATGTTCTGTTTGCAGATGCCTGTCCTACCATGAAGCAAACCTGATGGTAACATGAAGTTGCATGTTCCAAAAGCTGCTACATGGGGGAGTGTGGGCATGTTTGGCTGCGAGAGCCTGTGAGGGCGGTGGATGGAGACTGGCACCGTTCAAGGTGGCGAAGTTGGGAGCTATAGGCTGACAGATTCGACCTTC